TACACATAATCGAGGTATTCCGATAGAACGAAATCAGATTCACTGGAAGACGATCTCATGAATCTAATATAACATGCCAAATCATCAATACAGACAAAACAAGAAGCATGTTCAATGAGTCATTATCAATCATCAACGTCCAAGAAACTTACATAACTGTTTCAAAAGCATTAAAAAGTCAATACATAAAAGACTTTGTATGCGCACCTTAAGACATACTGAAATGACATACTGCGCAGACATGACATACTGAAATCTGCTCTCGATATCATAACCCATTGCCGCACCACATTTGTGTTGATCACTGAGGTCAACAAAATGAAAAACGATACAATGAGTAATGTTCAACCGCAACAATGAACTGCGTCCAAATGAAAGACAACTATTTCTGTATCATTTCTCTAAGCATCAATATAGTTACCAAGAAAATATTCTACGTTATCACTTCAACTCGAGCTACATTGAGCAGTCAGTTTAAACGCGACCAAGTGCTTCTTCTTACATTTTCATTCACCATTTATTCCATTAATTGCTTCGAGAAGAATATCAACTAATGATCTTTTTTTCCTCATACTCTCTCCGTTTTCGATCGCAATCATCGAACTTTTTCACATCAGTCACTGTTGGTTTCATAGTTTTCCATTCCTTTATGCCATCCACGAGGATATCATTCAAATCAAGTGAATCCAAATACGCCATCTAAAACAATATTATCTTTTACCAATGAAACATAAATTCCATCCAGAAATTTCACTCTCCCCAAAAAAATTGCCAACAATAAAGGATTCAGCGACGAATGTGAAGCTGTACCATTTTTCTGGATAAAATGAAAGTGCAAAAATAAAATCTGAAAAATTACCGTTGAACGAATGTACAGGATCACTCTATTCACATAAATCGGATCATAACTTCTCTGCAAATACAGACATCGCCAAATAGCACCTGCCAGCACGGTATCGTCCGAGAGATATCCCTGAATAACCATTAATATTAATTGACTGATGTTTCCCTTACTCAGCGAATGATGTTTAATAACAATGAAAAAAGAGTAGTCAGAGTGTCACTAACTTCGTCATATTCGAGCAATGTTTGCAGATGTAATCCATGCATATGTTTCATATCGCCGTAGGATGTTAGCGACTGTTTTATTTCCTTCTGAAAGTATTCATCACCGTTGATTTTGTCACAAAATTTCATTCGTTGAATGTTAAACGATAGACTATGGCAAGCAACTATTTGATATTTGAAACAGTCAGAACAATTTCGATGTGATGAGATGTGACCGAAAACGCTTTAGCTTGAAATCTGCATTTACGTTAGTGTGTCATTGGTTGATAAAAACTCTGGCAAACAAGAGCCACTCACTCCAATCACTTCTAATCTCTTATCAACGTCCATCCACATCACCGCAAGAAGACTTCGCTGCAGCCGTATATACGAATGCACCTCCAGCGAGACGTGCAATCGCATCAGCACCATCCTTCAACGTTATAAACGTTCATTCGCATTTGCTACATTCTTGTGGCTATTTCCAGCGTTGATAGTAATCATTTGACGATTCATTCGTTCGAATCAGATTTCGCCTGATCAATGTTCCCAGAAAAACGNATATGCTCAACGTAATCATTCCTCCGCATATGCCTTAATTGTGAACTCATTGCTGAGTTTAATACGTAGTGGAACTCACCAAATGTGCATGATTGTCAACTTAAACCACGTTGACGCATAATCAGGTAGACCAAATGCTGAAATATCACAATGATTTTTCTATACGGATGCATTCTATCGAATTCTTTCACAGGAAAAATGAAAACTTGAATATTACGAACTCCAATGAAAATTTGACTTTTTCAATGCAGAACATGTTTGATATTTTGAAAACTAATTGCGAGCTGAATCAACTGACAAACCTTCACATAATTTTACGTAAGGATAGTTATTGGCGCAATCGTAATACAACTGAGCTGCTGCTCGATCCAGGAGCTGTAAATTGGAACGGTAGAAAACACTGATCCTGAGGGATCGATGATACTGTTTCTGAGCGATTACGGAGACGAACCAAAGAATAATCAATGGAAATCGACATGAGATCCAACAGTTTACGGGTGATGACAAATGAGTCATCCCTCTCAAAAATACCTCTCCATTTTATATTCTCATTATTATTACCATCATTATGACCGTGTTGCTATTTAATCATCTCAACAAAAAAATCATATCGCTATTATTGTTACGTTCAATTTGATTCCGTTCAGTTGAATCTATTGATAAGAACAAACCACTTTGAGATCGGCATCAAGAGAATTATCACGAGTGAACCTCGACTTGAGGACAATGATCATTCGCTGTATGAACTTTGGGAGACGACTTGGAGCTTGCGAAAGAATCGACTCAACTCGATCGTCGACCATTTCCAAATGATTCGGTGATGATGAACACTCTAACTGCAGAATAAAATTCGANCTCTCCATGGGTAAATTAAGAAATGTTGATGCTCTTGATGCTCCCCACTCACGTTACAATCCTCTCGAAATGTACCTATTCCAATAGGAACTCAACAACAAGAAACCAGTCACTTAATTTACCAAAGAATTCTTAGTCTGAAATAATATTCTGACAAAATGAAGTGGAACTCATTACCGACGATGTGCTAAACACATTTTGCTTCGTAGAAATAGTTGGAATAGTAGATGTGAGCCTGGAGGAATGTCGTTTCAAATGGATATTCGACGATAAAACCCCTCCGACAAATCCATATTTTCTACCGATCAACCTTGCGATTGATAAGGATAAAGATTTTGAAATCATTAACACTTTGAAATCGCTTCCCACACCTGAACTCAACCAAAGCATTAGCACAAATCAATGGTGTCAATTCCTTCCAGGAGCGACGAGGTAATCCTGTTCGTACCAACAGCACAACAAACTAGTTATCACACAAATCTCACTCCAAATCAGTCCCTTCCAATACCACAATCAACTAATACGTAGCCAAATGTCATTGTCACGTTCACAAATTCGACATCTTGTCATACACTTTGTATTATTACCGTTGCTGGATTTGAAGTTATAAAAACTGTTTCAACAACACTTCCACAATGCTACGGAATCCCTTCCATGATCAAGTGGATGTACACTTCCTCTCGTACTCGTCATCACCTTTAAGGTAATTTTAAGTATTCGATGATTCAGTCGTTTTTCGAATACTCTGAATGAAGTAAACTGATCGGAATAGCAACCTACAGTGACAAAACAACAATAAATCGTGTATATGTGCAGTTTTATTGAGTGAGGGTATACCAATAAATGACAGTACTCAAATTACAGATTATATTTAAGGTGCATGATAGAATGCGATAGACACAAAAAATATCAATTCCGAGTTTAATAAGCACGGAAATATTCGTTGTCTATCGAAAATCAGTTATGAATACAACACTGATTATGTCAATAAAACACATCAGATTACTGATTGATTAGTATGCTTATATAAATATGAAACATTATAATTTATACGGATAGATGAAATTCACAAATAAAATAGAGCCAAGATGGGAATGTCAAGAAACTGATTATACAGTACTAACAGTCAAGTTACTATTCACAAGAACGAAGTGCGAACCGATGTTATTCATCTTACTGAAATGAAAATGTAAATGGATTAATACATTTGAACGAAACAATATACGCCATACAGTATAACTACTATTGTCAGTGCAACAAAGANCCCCCATGAACGCTCACCTACTCAATGAGCCACACTCTTCCTCTGAGGATCACCACCCTGAAACATTCAAAATGACTGATGAAAGTTTATCACAGCCACAGCAGCAAACATAAATAATATTCACGCCTCAATTCCAATCCATGGTAAACTAAAATCCAAATGCGCATTGCTCACGTCAGGATTGAATCTTGAATAATGATAACCGAAATGAAAACGACGCCATTAGTAGTGGAACTAATGAACGAAACTAAATTTATTTTGATGATAATAATAAAGACAAAGTAACGAACTATAATAATAGTAAAATCAATAACACCAGTTCAAACATTGAAACACACCTTGAACAAATCAACACCAGTCATACCAGCTACCATTTGTGGTACACGCTCCATTATATCCAAAATCTGAAATTCAATGTCAAATTGATCTCCATCGATCCATGCGCACAACAGAAATTGAATATTTGAAACAATCGCTCAACGAATGCGATTCACTTCAACTTCAGAACAAAACAAATGCAACCGACACATAAACTTACCTCTTGCGTAACTCTCGCCGCACCCACATCCCCTCCACCTGTCGATATCATCTTCATATCCTCAACTCCGTCATACAACGACGATCCCACTTTCTCGGCCAACTGAAACTTCTCCCAATTCAAACATCCTCTTATCGGTAACGAGCGAATGCCCCATTGATCAAATGAAATCAATCAATGCTCTCAAAACAGATCAACTGCAATCCATCCGAAAATCAGCTGACTGGCAATGAATCCTTCACCAGTCTGAGTTTGCTGGAAACTAGAACTGAACCATGGAACGAAATGAGACTCGATGGCTAGAACGGTTCCGAATTCTACCCACATGATATTATATGATAATACCATCAATTTCATCGAGCTTACCCCAGTTGATGATCTGAAGATAGTTTTGCGAGTGGCTCGAATCTTAGCCGCTTCCACAATAAACACTGATTAAAGCATGCAGTACGTTACTCCACATAAACTCTATAAGGGATTCTATTAGTGTTCATGAATACAAACCTTTGGAAGCATATCGAGAGTGATCTCAACCAGAGCAGCCTCTTTGAACTCTTTGTAGGCTTCAGCTTTCTTCTGCAATTGAACGGCATCCGCCTTGGCCTTCATCGTGATCGCATACGCCTCTGCTTCACCACGCACCTGAACATACAAATCAATCAGCAAATGAAAATAAAAATTTAAGAAAACAAATCAAAACCCATCCACACGCTTGAACATCTTCCAATTGCGAATTTATAAGGCGGACACAATTCCACGATCACTCGAAATGTTGTTGAATCCAAATCAATAAACGTTCGAAATTTCATAAACCGTTTCAGATTTTGCGTTCGCTTCCGCATCCAGAATGATTCGTTGTTTTTCAGCTTTGGCCAATCTTTCCAAACGATACTTCTCGGCTTCAGCCGGACGTTTTACTTTTGCGTCGAGTTCACGTTCTTTACGTGTTATTTCCTGAATTAAATCATCCACTCTATCAGTTCACACTACTCAATGCCTAATAATGAACCGAAAGAAAACTTTTGACCAAAAATCGGTCCATCTTTTTTCCTACTAATAAGCAGTATATTTCAAAACGTCGAACCTGTTCGGCCACATCAATTTGCGCTGTTCTCTCGATAATTTTCACTTCCATCTCCTCTTCTTTAAGTGCTTGATTCGTTTTAGCTGCCTTAATTTGATCCACTCATGTAACATCACCCGAAAATGCGATATTCAAACAGCACAAAACCACTTTTCTTGACGACAATTTCCTGTTTGAGGACAAGCACTCTCCGAACGAAACAGCAGCATTATTGTACCACGTTTTACGATGGAATCATAATCATTGGTGAGAATATTAACAATCACGGTAACAGTAAATANNNNATGTTAAACTGAAACTGATGAAACCATCTGATGAAACGAGATCAATCAATGAAACGGAATGGAATGATTGCAGTAATCATTAATAGAAAAACCTTACAAAGTGTAGGATAATTTGATAAATACAAAAATATAGTGAATGATTCATAACAATCTGATCGAAAAGACTGATCAACGGGACGAGATTAAAAATAATTTGAGAAACCTTTATAATTCGATCACGTCTTGCCATTGCTTCACCAATACGCGCATCACGTTTCACTTCAGCTGTTCGTTTCATTCCCAGTGCTTTCAGATAACCCTTGAAATCACGCCATTTGCATGAAATCGATCATTACAAACCATCATTCAAAAGAAAAATTTATCTGTTAAATGGAACATATTTAATTCGGGCTCGGATTCAAAACATGATAACATAATGGAAAAATCAGTGACGGGTGAATTCAACTTGAATAAACTAACATTGTCATCGCTTATATCTTTGATTGTATACGAAACAACTGTGATACCCATATTGACGAGGTCACATTTCGCAACTGAGAATACCTTCTCGCTGAATTTCTTACGATCTTGATAGATCTCCTTCAATTTGATTACATAAGTATTCTGAATTAATGCACTATTTCAATGAACACTTCCAGCGATCCTCAGCTGAATACTGCAACACTGGTAACGTATTTGATCACCTCACAAAAACGAATGCTTACCTCAACGGTCATCAGACCCATAATGGCTCGTTGATGTCCTTCGAGCGTTTCGAGTGCAATCTCAAATCAATTACCTCGTTCACTGGTACTCTTTAAGTCTGTTACAAATAGGGATTCGGGAGGAATGAAGAGACATTATGTTTTAGCAATTATCATCTGATAATAATGTCGCCTATAATAATTCAAAATTATAGATTCAAAGCGGGATTGAAATGATGAAAATAGTACTTGTCGAATCTCCTCTTCGCTTTTGCCCAAGAAAAGTTGACATGCGGTCGCTAAGGTCTCCTTTTTACGTGATTCAACTTTGACCTTAGAAATTTAAATTTCGTTCATGCCGGTTCACAGATGAAATAGAAAATGTTGAGTTCGACGAATTGTCAAATTCAAAACGAAACAAAAATACTACTTCAACGGGAATGAATGTGTTCATATTGACAGAATTATGTGCAATCGCCTCGAAGAAATCAGCAAAAGGGATGGAAAAACAAGTGAATAACCTGTGCAATACCAGTAACCGATACTGGAACTCCTTTTTGAGTGTAGACACGTGGGCTATGCACCTCCAGAGTGATCGTATTCAACGACATACGCTGTACCATTTGTATATGGGGCAGCACCAATGCACGACCACCAACCACATACATCGGCGAGTCATGGAACATTCCTGAAATCAAATTTTCACTATCGATACTCATTCAATTCATCTTCAGAATACTACTTGAGCTGCTCAAAATTCAGTGAAGAGAAACTTAAAGAACCATTTTGATGAATTTTAATGATCAAATGAAACTGAACTTCGACACTCGAATTAACCCTCACGGAATGTGTCCCATAAACTTTGTTAATTTTCAGAAAACAAAACTAAACAATGAACTATCCGTACAGCAATAATGTGTCCGAGCACAGTTTAAAAACCATTCAACCGAGTAAAATCTAATTCCGAAGGCGAATTGAGTTAATAATTATGGAATGAACAAACCTGAAACAACCATCGCTTCGTTAGGTCCACACGTACGAAACACCATCTTGGGATATTCACAGCCACAAACACCACAAGATTATGCTGGAAAAACAATGATGGCAATAATTGGCTTTTAGATGATTGACCTCTCGCAGAATTATTTGATGAATTCAGTCAATTCGACGAACTGCATCTGAAAACGACGACACTGAGAATCCTAACAAGCACCATCGACAATCCAAAACCGAAAGGTTACTTATGGTTCATTCGGAAAAGTCATCGAACCGTATTCATCTCACAATCAGCAAAAATCACGGGAATCTTAAAGAGTTAACAAAACTCGCTGTGAATATGATATCTGAACTATCTAGCTTTACAGTCCCTCTGAAACCACTCCAAATAACTTTCTCGCAGAAAGATAGTCCTTACCAGAGAATATGGATCTTCGATGTTATTAGCAAATCTATATCCAGATTTGCTTTCACCAATAATGCAAAAGGAAGAGACGCCACGGAATGACGGTAACGCCTCCATACGCCTGTTCGCTTGAGCAGTGATTAGCATAGCTTTTTGAGGCAATCGTAGACGGCTTCAAGATTACGGTACGTCTGAGGTGACCAATGAAATCGTCAGCAAAAGTGGGCGGATTACGGTATGGCTTGGCAATGTACCGTACCTGCACTCACAATGAAACAGACCCAATAAAACACGTTTTTGTACGCTTCCCGGCCAAAAATCATTGCTGGGCGTAAGAAACTGTCTATATAAGCCAACTCTCAGGTGTGTTGTCGGGGAGTAGCAGTTTTTTCATTTGTTTTAGCAAGGTTTTCATTCTTTTCCTTGTTGTTACAATCGCTCTCATAGCTTTTATCACCAAAAGTGTTCTCTTTTGCTAATTTCTCATTCATTTCACGCAACAATCAAAGTCAAATTCTCATTCTATTAAACACACTCTATAATTGGTCATTTGACTGTCGAACGTTGTTGAGCAATTCAATTCAGTTGCTGTATTGTTGATTGCGGTTGTCAACACTCGTCAACGTATCCAATAAATAGTATATAATACAGAATGAGAATTTGATTCGAACTG